TAAATTTGAGTTCCAAATTCTATCCCTCTCTCCCTTCCCTTTGCCCTCCCTGAGATGGTAAGCAATCTGTTACAGGTTATACATGTGCAATCGTGCAAAACATTTCCATATTAGTCATGTTGTGAAATAAAACACAGACAAGAAAAAAAAAACCCAAACACCATGAGAAAATAAAGTGAAAAAAATATATATTTTGATCTGCATTCAGATTCCATCAAATAGGTCAGAAGACTTTGGGCTCTCCAAATTTCCTCCACAAGTGATTGTAGAGCATCAGAAATAAACAAGTTGGGTAAAGCAATTGTCCTCCTAAGGCAAGCTGAGAGGACTTCAGGAAAGACTTGACCTCCAGGGGCGGAGATTCAGAGATTTGGCTGAATGAAATGCAAACACCTCCAGGCCAACTCTTCGGAATCAACAAACAACAAGCCCTGGGGGCCAATGGATTGAGGAGGCAACCTCCAACTCAGGAATTTTTACCTGGGGACAGTGTTGGGGGCCCATGGCTGAGTAGGAGAAGTTGAGGGACAGTCAACCACAGCTGTGCGGACCTGACTCCATCCTGGGCTGTAGCTACAGGGGAGAAAGAGCTAGCACACACCTGGTGAGTGGGCACTTGGCAGGAGAGCAGAGTCCCTTTAAAAATCAATCAAGAGAGATGGAGGAAAAAATAGGGAAAAAAAAGAAGAGAAATCCAAGAAAATCAAGAGAATTATGAGAAGAAAGTCAACAAACTGGAAAAAGAGAATAAAAAACTTAAGAAAATAATTCTTTGAAAACTAGAATTGGGCAAGGGATGTTATATAATATATATAATGATGTTATAAGACACCAAGAAATAAAACAAAAGCAAAAGAATGAAAAAATAAAAGAGAATGTGAAACATCTCATCAGAAGAACAACTGATCTGGAGAACAGATCAAGGAGAAACAATATAAGAAGTTGGGCTACCTGAAAGTTAAGGTCAAAAAAAGAATCTTGATACAATATTACAAGAAATTATTAGGGAAAATTGCCCTGAAGTTCTAAAACTAGGAGGTAAAGCAGAAGTAGAAAAAACAAACAAATAAACAAACAAACAAATAAAAACACTGATCACCACCAGAAAGAGATCCCAGGAGGAAAATTTACAGGAATATCATAGCCAAGTTTCAAAGCTCCCAGGCTAAGGAAAAAATATTGTAAGCAACAAGGGGAAAAAAAAACCCCAACAATTTAAATATTGCACAACTACAATTAGGATTACACAAGACCTAGCAGTTCTGCATTGAAGGTCTTGGAATACTACATTTTGTAGAGCAAAAGAGCTGGGGTTATGATCAAGGGTAACTTACCCAGCAAAGTTAAGTATAATCCTGAATGGGGGAAAAAAAGGATATTTAACAAATTGAAAGACTTTCAGGTATTTGTGACAAAAAGAGCAGAATTTAATGGAAAATTTGACATATAAGATCCAGAAGAAATATGAGGTAAACATAAGGGACTCAATAAGGTCAAATTGTTTACTTCTTACATTCGAAAATGTTAGCATTTCTGTCATTATTATTTGGGTAGTTTGAAAGCAAGGCTTGGCCTAAGCTGCGTAAAATGGGGGCGATTCTAAAAATTAAAACTGCTTTGGGAGAGATAAAAAGGAGTAATTATCTCATATAAATGAGGCATGAAAGGAAGAATTGATACAGAAGAAGTTAGTAGGGGTGAAGAACTGGTAGTGCTAGAACCCTATGGGTTAAAGAGGGAATAACATATATCTAGAAGGGTATAACAGTCTTCTAAAGTTAGAAATAAGAGGCTGAGGGGATAGGATAAGGGAGCGACTATTAGAAGGATGTGTGTGTAGATTAAGAATTAGGAAGGGGGAGGGAATAAGGGAGAAATTCTTAGATAGGTGGATAGAAAGATAAGGTGGAGGCTGGGGGAGAGGATAAAGGAGGGACTCTTAGAGGGGTGGGTAGATGGAATAGGAGGGCAAGGTAGCCTGTAGAAGTGTTCTTGTTTCTCCTTCATTCTCAAAAGAGGACCATGACATCAGGAAGATGATGACTTGCAAGTGAATTGGATCTAAGTGACAAAGGCTGTGCAAAGTCACCATGTAGGACAAGGGAGACAGGAGGGAGGAAAAATAAAATAAAATGCACAGTGGAGAACAAAAGTAAACCAAGATGAAGCATAGAAAAGTGGTTTTCTTGAAATGGAAATTTATTGTTTGATATTGAATCCTCTCTTATGTTCTGCTGTGTAGATGGAAAGGTTTTTTTTTTCCCTTTTCTTATTTTGTATTTAAGTTTAAAATGAATAAAAAAAAAATAAAAAAGATTCCATCAGTTCTTTCTCTGGAGGTGGATAGCATTTTTCATCATAGATCCTTCAGAATTGTTTTGGATCTTTGTATTGCTGAGAATAGCACCATGTTGGCTGGAGGGCAGTGCTGATTGGTGGAGATCTGCTGGACCACCAACTGGATGGCCTCCAGCTGGACAGAGAGGGTATCTTGTCTTGGGCACCAGTATAAGGCTTCACTAGGACCTCTAAGAGGGGGCTGACATTTATTATTATTTTTTTAAATATTGATTAGTAAAGTTTGGTTACATGCATTGAGAAATTTAATGGCTGTTTCTATCCTGCTAGTTAAAGCATATAAATCAACTCTAAGTTTGTACTGTGGGTATGATGTATTTAGAATTTCCCAGGAATCCTAGTCAATCTCACTGGCTGCCATTTCCAGGGCTAAAGCCATTCTCTTGGACAAAGAAAATGGGAACAGGCCAGGAATGAAGCAGCTCTGCTTTCTCTTTATGGTTAAGTATTTACCACCTGCCCCCCAGCTTCCCTGCCCCCGCCAATCCATCCTCTCCTTTCTTTGATTATTTTCTTTTCCCCAGTATAGCGTAGAAACTTCTTGACTCGATCAATTTACCAGAGCAACTTGGCATCTTTTCTGCACCTTCCATTCTGAAGAGTCGGCTTGGGGCAGAGAGGTTAGGTGCCTTGCCCAGGGTTAGAGCCATTGGTTGTTAAGAGGCAGAACTTGAACCCAGGTCTTGATGGCTACAGGCCAGCTCTATCTACCAGACCATGCTGCTTCTCTACTGCATAGTTTTGTTTTTTTAAACAACTACTGTTTTTGTTCCTTGCCAGTGCTCACCCATGCCCTCTGTGCCCATGTGATGAGAACATTCCTTTCTCATTTCTACTATAGAATACCTGTGTTTCTTCAAGGCTCAGTTCAAGGGCCATTCCCCTGATCCCCATCTTAATACTCTTTCCCTCTTCAAATTAACCTGTACTTATCTGCATTAACACCTCCCCTCCCCCCCAGATTCTTTGAAAGCAAGGGACAATTTGGTGATGGTCCTCATGTCTCTAGTGCCTTGCTCCATGTTGGCTGACTTGGTTAGGCCATGCGGCCAGTGGAGGGTGCCAGAGGGACAGGGTCTAAATCCTGCCTCTGCCATTACCTGGGGTGCTTGGGCCAAGTCAAGCCTCTGTTCAACCTAAGAACAAGGGAGCTAGCCCAGCTGGGCTCTGAGATTCTTTCCAGGTCTTGGTCTTTTATCCCTCTTCCTCCCCACAAAACTAGTTCCTTTTGCCACCTTATTGCACTATGCATGCATGCAGCACCACACATGTAGTAAGTATGCAGTATAAGCTCACTGAACTTGAGTGCCCAGGGAGGGCGTGGTACCCCAGGAAAGAGGCAAAATGCCCATCACCCATGGCCAGAGGGGTTGAGTACCTGTCTCCTAAGATAACCAGTTAAGATCCATCTGATTAGAAACTTTGATTTAGCCTACTCCCATGACTGTGACCTTGGCTAAACTGCCTTCCTCCAAAGGGTGTTTGCAGAACTTTGACAACCCTTCTTTTGTTTCCAGTACTGGAACACAAACCCCAGCTAAACAGTCTTCCCTTAATGATCCAACCATTCTGGAGAGCAATATGGAACTATGCCCAAAGGGCTATAAAAATGTGCATACCCTTTTACCCAGCAATAGCACTTCTAGGGCTATATCCCAAAGAGATCAAACAAATGGGAAAAGGACCCACATGTACAAAAATATACATAGCAGCTCTTTTTGTGGTGGCAAAGAATTGGAAATTTGAGAGGACGCCCATCAACTGGGGAATGGCTGAGCAAGTTGTGATATATGAATGTAATGGAATACTATTGTGCTATAAGAAATGATGAGATGGAGGCCTTCAGAAAAACCTGGAAAGGCTTGCATGGACTGATGCTGAGTGAAGTGAGCAGAAACAGGGAAACGTTGTACACAGTAACAGCCATGTTGTGTGATGACTAATATTGATAGACTTAACCCTTCTCAGCAATACAAGGATCTAAGACATCTCCAAAGGTCTCATAATGGAAAATGCTATCCACATTCAAAGAAAGAACCATGGGGTTTGAATGCAGAACGAGGCACACTATTTGCTATTTTTTTTCTTTCTGTTTTGTTTTTTCCTCTTCCTTCTTGTGGTCCCTCCTATTGGTTCTAATTCTTCCTTACAATATCACTAACATGAAAATATATTTAATAGGAATGTATACGTATAGCATACATCAGATTGCATGCTGTCTCGGGGAGGGAGTTGGAGAGGGAGGGGGAGAAAAACTTAAAACTCAAAAGCTTATGGAAGTGATTGTTGATAAATCAAAATAAACTGATAAAAATAAAAAATAAATAGTAGTCCCTTTAACAGGCAGGGCAGGTGAAGGTGCAATTAGACAAGGAAATGACAAAATAAGCTTACTTTTGACAAAATTTTAGTTACAAAACACTTGCTATGACCTCAGGCAGCAACTCCCTGGGCCTCAGCTTTCCCCTATATAAAATAAAGGAATGGGACTCATTGATCTGAAGAGCCCAGCCAGCTCGGACACTGCGAGGTTATGATTTGAAGCTCTGCAGAAGACTCCAAGCCCACTCCCACCACCTCCACCCCAACTTCATCTCTCCCACCACATTCCTGGAACATAAAGAGACTGGAGTGGCAGTAGGTGGAATCATGGCACAGACATACACTTTATTGTTAAAAATCTATTAAAAAATCATACAGGCATAAAAGAGAAGACAGTGGGGAGAGAAAGAAAGGCCACCACAGCTTTGGGGTGGGCAGGTAGAGGAGTAATGTTTCCTCCTCTGGAACAGACAAGAACTCCTTGAGATGAAAAGGAATGTGACTGTGCTCCCGGTCCCCGCTCTATGCAGGTTTGGCTCCTGGTCTCCCTAGAAGCCAGTGGGACTGAGGCCCTGAGACAGTCTCCCTGCCCTTAGCCTTGGCCAACCAAACCTTGGCCACAGGGGAAAGAGGGAAAAGTGAAAATTTTCTGGGAGTATCTAGAACCAGCCTGCCTCTCCCTTATATATGAGAATACATACTTCAATATTTCAAGATTATTCCATGATTTTATGTATGGGCAAAGGTATTTCCACCAACACAGATCACAATCCCAAGTAGACAGTCATTATGACTGTTAAGGATCCTCACAAATCTAACGTCTAAGTCTTTATTAGGTCCTGTGACCTCTTGATTACCTATCCCAGCACTCCCCAGCCTCCACTATTTGCTAGCAGAGCAGAAAGCAAAGTAGACTCTCAGATAAAAAGTGGAAAAGTAACAATTTTCCCAGCCTCATCTCATCTAGGCTACAGGAACTCCAAAGAGGGTTCCATAAGCATATAAGAATGTTCCAGTTAAAATGGGAACTTTGAGCAGGTTTCTCAAGGGAGTAGGGAGGCAACTATAATGCATCCTCATGGGCAGCATTTACAAAAGCAAAGCAGACATTTCTGAGCCCAGGGACACCCTGACTATGACACTCTCTCTGCTCCCTGCACACACACACACACACACACACACACACACACACACACCCAATCACAGTAAGCCTCGTAACCATCCCACTTCTTCTAGGCCACCATTTCATTGATTTGCACCAGAGAAAGTTTGGCACATGGTAAGAGGGACTGCTGCTCTATCTAGAAAAATAGAAGGGAGGCAACATCCACTGGGGAGCCCAGAAAAGGATGATCCAAAGTGAAACCTATGGTCTAAAAAGCATAAAACCAAACCCTTTACTGACACTTCCTAGTTGACTGTCCTCTCCCACCCCCAACATATACTCCTCCATGCACTGGCCAGGGTGAGATACTGGTGTCTGGAAGGGAAGCAGCCCATTCCTGGCTCCCCATGCACACAGTTCAACTCTTTACTCAAGGTGCCAGATGCCCTGAGCTGCCACTAGGAGAGTAGGACTGGGAAGAGCTAGGGGGTGCTCTCAGATCTTGAGGCAGGAACATGGAACCTTTTCTGGAAGAACATGGAAGGAAGACAAGGAGCAGGCCATCCTGACAGGATGGCCTGGAGTGGAAGAGCCTTTAGCAGGGCAGGAGCTTCCCCAGTAATCAGCTCAGGGCTATGGGAGCCCCCAGGCTACCTCAGAGGTTGGAAGTGGTTATGGAGTAACTCTGCCTGCACCTTCAGGCTCTGAAACTCATCCTGGATAAAGTCTGTCAGGGCTTTGCGCATCTCCACCTGAGAGAAGAGACAGAGATGTGGAGCTTACCCAATGTTATTTTTCTTACCCAATGTTATTTTCTGGGGGAAGATGGAGATGGTAGAAACCATGCTGAGGAGTGGGAAGAGGAAGAGTGAGAAGGAAAAGGACATGGCAACATGCAAAGCTTTTCACAAATACGAATTAATTTGGTTGGGTAGGTATGCGTTTGAGTGTACATGGTTCTAGGGTGTCATGCCACTAATGGTCAGGGTCTCTGGATGTCTTGACCCTGGCTGGGGAAGGGGGCATGGAGACCCAGACAGCTGGTCTGGTAGGAGAGCCCCACCTCCTCTCCCCTGGAGCTCACAGCCAGATCCCAAAGACTAAAAGTATTTCTTTGCTTCTCTCACTCCAGACCCTTGTCCTTCTCAAGGAACAGCCCAGGGATCCCCTGGAGGATGTCCAACTCTCTCAAACCCAACTGCACTCTCCAGCTAACTCACTGCTGACTTATTTTCAGCTCGGAGACGTTCAAGAACAGGCAGGGCGCTGAATGGCTTCCCAATGAGCACGGTGATTTTCTGGGAGGGAGAGGGAGAGGATGTCAGAGGGGTGTGAAAAGAGCCAAAGAACCACTTCAAATCCTGATCCAGAGGGACCCGCCTCACCACTCAACTTGGGGCTGAAGAAATGGAGACAGTGAGGCAGGGAAACTCCAAAGGCTTAAAAGCTAAGGCTGCGGAAAGGCTAGTATGAGCCTGGGAATCAAGAGCTAGGGTTCTAATTCCAGTTTTGCCACTAACTCTGTGTGACTTTGGGTATACCCCCTTCCCCAAACTGGGCCTCAGTTTATTTATCTGTAAAATGAGGGGGTTAGACTAGGCCTCTTTCTAGCTCTAACATTCTTTTTAAAAAAATTTTTTTTTAATTTATTTTATTAATTTATTTTGATTTATCAACAATCACTTCCATATATATGCTTTTGAGTTTTAAAATTTTTCTCCCCCTTCCTCCCCACCACGCTCCACAAGACGGCATACAATCTGATATAGGCTTTACAATTGCATTCCTATTAAACATATTTTCACATTAGTGAAGTTGTAAGTAAAAATTAAAACCAATAGGAGGAACCATCAGAAATAGCTCTAACATTCTATGTTATAAGTCTCCTAACATCCCCAATCCTTGTCCCTTATGGCCCACCTCCCCTAACCACCAGTGTCCAACATTAGCCTTAAGGGCCTATGTATCCCAACACTGCCACTGCAGGGAAGTTCTCAGGTGTGGATGTCCTAAGTCACTCATGCTGGAGCTTAAATTCCTCTATCTGTAACCCTTCATATTCCTAGTGCTTAGAACTCTGCCTGGAGAGGTAGCACAATGTTGTGAAGAGAGTACTGGACTTGAAATCAGGAAGACAGCAGGTGAAATCCTGCCCTACAATCTGGGCGCCACCAGACAGATAGATCTCAGAGGGTCCATGAACTTGGGTGGGAAAAAAATGACATTTTTCTTTTCACTAACCTTTGGTCTTCTTTGTAATTTTAGGCATTTTATTTTGTATATTTAAATACATTGCTTATGAAGAGCTTATAAGCTCTACTATATAATAATAATATTATTATAAGAGCTAACATTTATATAGTGCTTACTATGTGCCAGCTAGAGTGCTAAGCACTTTATAATTTTATCATCTCATTTAATCCTCACAACACCAAAAGGTAGGTGCTATTATTATCTCCATTTTACAGATGAGGAAACTGAGGCAGACAGCAGTGAAGTGGCTTGCCCAGAATCACACAGCTAGCCAGCATTTCAGGCTGGATTTGAACTCAAGTCTTCTTGACTCCAGGTCCAGAACTTTGTGTGCTGTGGTGCCCCCTAATTGGCCAAAAGAGTTCATTATGTAAAAAAGGTTAAGAACCCTGACTGGTGCAAGTTTTTCTCCCCACTCCCCCCACCCCCTATGCTGAGAACAACTCCATTCAGCTCCTGAGGGTTCCCTTCCCAGTTCTCTGTTCACTTAGAAGGCCAACTTTTTGTGTAAATCTTGAAACACCATCTGAACAGCAGCTATTCTGGAGAGGAAGCACAGCTTGGTGGACAGAGTAGCCTTAGAGTCAGGAAGAGCTTAGCAACATAGTAGGTGTGTGACCCTGGACAAGTCACCTCACCTCAGTGCCTTCAACACTTTAAGTTACAGAGAAGTTGCTGTACTGGTGGAGGGAATTTCCACACCAAGAATTCCCTAAAGGTCCAGACCAAAGTGAGGATGGGGGTGGAAGAATCATTATCATAAGAAATCTAGTCTAACCTCATTTGATGGAGCAGAAAACAGCCACAGAAGGGGCTTCTCAAGACACCAGTGGCAACTCCTCCCTGTCCCCTTTCCTTCCACACAAAGGAGTCAGGAATGGAATTGCCCTGTGGTGGCCAAGCCTGAGGGAGGCAGGGGGAGAAAGAGAACCAGAGACTGGCTGGCTCCCACTCACCTGTCCAAATCTGGGGAAATAGGGTGGAGCGTTGGGAAGCACATCACTCATTCCTACACAACAGGCGTGGAGGCCAATGGAAAACAAGGCAGATGGTCAAACAGGAAGGAAGGGGGGGATCCTAGACACCTCCACTCCCATTCTCTCCCAGTTCTTTGACCCTAGTAAACCAAGGAATAGCCTTATTCTTCCTGTCTCCCACTGCCTTCTGAACACCACAATGCCAGGACACTCACCACCAGGCTCCCTCCCCAGAAAGCTCACCAATGTGCCAGAGTGGAAGGATAATGGGGTTGAGGTGACACTCAGCAATCAGGCGTCCTATTCCTGTCAGGAAAGAATGGAGCAGGTGAGGTATAGGCCATACCCCCAATAAGCCCAACAGAAGGAGCCCACCTCTAAGCCATTGCTAATGCCCACTGAACTGGAAAGGTCTGGGGAAGTTAGAAGGGAGAAATGTGGGGCCAGGGGAAATGGCTGAGGTTTGCTCCCCTGAGGTTGGCAGGGACCATCCTCCCCAGTAGTCTGGGTCAGCCCCCAACTTACCCCACTTAAAACGAAGAAATTCCTGGCTCATGTTCACTTTTCCTGAAGAGAGAAAAGGAGGTGAGCAGCTCAAGGAGGCCTGCCAGAGGCACTAGGGGGAAAGGAGTGGGGCATGATAGGACAGAACAGGGACTTCAGTTCTTTTCCCCTACCCCAAGGGGAACTGACCCTGCCAACCCCTCCTCCTGCTGGCTGCTCCATGACCATTAGCTTCCTTTCCCACCTCCCCTCCCCCCACCCCTACCAACCTTCAGGGAAGATGTGGACCCAGTCCCCATTGTTGAGTTTCTCCAGGATAAAGTCCATTCCTTTCTGGTAGACGCCATCCCCTAGCAGAGAAAAGCCATCCCTGTCCCCAGCCCCTTACCATCAGGTTATAGTTGGGGTAAGGGAAGGAGAAGGGATGTCAAAGGGAGAAGAGACCCCAGCCTTGCTCTTGGCAACACACAGTCTGGAAGAGGTGGGACTTCTTAGTGAATGCCTACTCTCTGCTTAGGGTTAGGGAGTTGTTTGGGGAGCAGGATGGGATGGGACTACTAACCGACACCTCTTTCTTCTCCTTTAACCCAAGGGGAGGCTCAGGGAAAGTGGCCCCAGTTACAGAAGTATCTTCTCTATCCTGTACCCTAGGACCACTGGCTATTACTCTTACCCTTGAGGGGGCATTGGCTTATTAGTTTGGGGGATGGGGGTGGGGGGATGTCAAGGTAGCTCCCAGGCTGCAGGGTGGGGGCTCACCTCGGCATACAGGGACACACTTTCCCAAGCTGAAGAAATGAGAATGCAGCTCCTTGGTGAAACAGATATCTGCAGCTGCTGGGGTCCTGTAGGGCAGCAAGATGGGCGCTGCTTTTTGCACAAGCCTGAAGGCTTCAACTCCCCACATCCCCCATGCCCCCAACTCCAATAATGCTGCTGGCAGCAGGGAAATTCTGAGGGAGAGGTCATACCTCCATCTCCTACACCCCTAAGAAAAACAGACACCTTCAAAATCTGCCTGGGATGGGAGATGGGAACTAAAGCTCATCTCCAGTTTAGGGGGCCATTCCTTCTACCACTTACCACCTCATCAGCCTCAGGTTCCAGATGTGGCGGAGTTTCAGGATCCCTGGGGGAAGACAGAAGTTAGCTAGGGAAGGCACTCAGGCCTCCTTCACCCCCACCACTGTGCCCATGCTTGATATCCCTGAGGGCCCACCAAGTTCTCCCAGGAGCTCTAGCCCTCCAGGACTCACCAGCTCAAAGCTATACTGGGCAAGAGATGGTCAGTCTGCTCCTCCAACTTGCCATATCCAAAATCCAACTCACCTTCCCTCCAAACCTGCTTTATTTTCTCCTAAACTTTCCATTTCTGTCAAAGGCATCCTTGTTCTCCCAATCACCCAACCTGGAAACTGCCTAGTCACCTGTGACTCTCTTTATTTCCAGTCTTCAGATTCTACACTCCAGGACAGCTCTTGAATTAGAGTCCCCTCTTCTCATGCCTTCTACTCCAAGAACCTCCTAATCTTGACGCTGGCTCCTGCCTCTCTAATCTATTTTGCACAAATAGGACTCTGATTACATTGCCTCCACTGCTCAAAAACCCTCAATGGCTTGCCACGGCCTACCAGACAAGCCAAAGGACTCAACCAGGTATTTAAGGTTCTCCACAATCTCTCACCTGCTCTTGTAACTTCATCCCCTAGTCCTGCCCTATAAATACCTTTGGCTCCAGCAAGCTGGCCTTACAAATATACCAGGCCCATTCCTGTTGTTGCCTTTGCTCATTTATATCCTGGCCCAGGATTCTTTCTTCCTACACTTATTTAAACCCTACTCATCCATCGAGCCTAAAGTTCCACCTCCTTCAAGAAGTCTTCTTTGACCTCAATCAATGACAATCTCTCTCTGGCTGAGAAGATGGTATCACTGAAGGAGATGGGATTTCTGGACCAGGACTTAATGTGCATGAATGATGGGCTCCTGACCAGTGAGAATGTGCATCTTATGAAGGCCACTATAACACATTTGCCTGGAGATCTGCAGATGCAATCGAGAGGACTCTAAAGTAAAAATCAGGACAGAAGAAAACTTCCCATATATACTTGCTAAGTCAGATACTACAGAGAATATAATACTCTCAGGATACTACAGGAGTATGATACAGGAAAAGTAACAGTGGGAAGACTTAGTAATTCAGAGGCAATATCCAAGAAAGATGTTAATGAAATTCAGTCTCAGACAGTCAAACACAGTGAGTATTAAACAAAATGAGATCTTAACACAAGGTAATAAATTCAATCCCAGAGACTTTGCAGGAAGTGACTCATCTCGTTATCAAGTTTTATGTAAAACTAGATGAGATAAAGTGGGGGGGGGTGGATTGGCATTCTATACCAATATGATCAGTTGTGGCAGCCACATTTTTAAGGTGGGTGACCAGGGATCACGCCATGTGAGGGTTATTTGAAGACACTTAGGGATGTTTAGCCTGGCGAAAGAAGACTTGGGTGGGGGGCAGGGCGAGGATGATGGCTATCTTCAGGCATGTGAAGTACTGCCCAATGGAAAAGGAATCAGACTTATGAGCTTTGCTCCCAGGGAGCAGAACCAGGAGCAATGAGCATAAACTGCAGGGGGCATTTAAGTCTGGTGTAGGGAATAACTGTCAGTGTTGTCCACCAGCGGAATGGGCTGATTAGGAACCAAGTGAGTTCTTCCTCACTGGAAGCCAGATGTCCACTTGATACAGATTTCATCAAAGAGATTCTTAGTCAAGATATGGGTTACACTTGGTGGCTTCTGAAGTTCCTTGTATGTCTCAGAATCGGTGATTTATATCTAAATCTGGACCCACACTGAAGCCCCAGGCGCAAACTTCCTAACAGGTGCTTGCTCCCCAAGCAGAACAAGGTGCCTCTCAGTAAAGGTCTGGCCTGGGGATGGTGTTTTGAGAAGATTCCTACTCAGCTGCCAGTTGGCCTAGATGGCCTCTGAGGGTCCTTCCAACTCTGTGGCATCAAGGACTGGGGCACCTACTGTCTCTATCCCTTGTTAACATCCTGGTACCAAGAGAAGGTAGGGCTAGGCAACCTTCTCATATCCAGCAACCAGTACAGAGCCTCACTGACTGATGGTGACCAAAGCAATCCAAATAAAATTTATTAGGTATCCACAAAGGACAAGGCACTGGAGACGAGCTTTATGATAATGATAAATATAATGCCTGCTTATTTAGCCAGAAATTAGGGGAAGAAACCAGAACACTCTCTGGTTCATCCAATATTCTGGTTATAGAAGGCATTACCAAACAAAGATGACTCATTTCCATAGAATCAAAATGTAACCAAGAGAATGCTGAAAAACCAGATTGAGTGGCCTCTTTCTCTGATGAATCCAAGACCAAGCTCAGAGGGTCTTGAAAGGGAAAAGATATTGAATCTGATGAAAGTATTTCTCTTCATGGGGAGAAAAATTCCAATTACGGACACCCAAGTAGAAGAAAAATGCAAAAAGACTGAAAGATTGTGGTGGGGGGATGAGATTGTGAAAGCTAAACTGAACTATGCAAACCAAAATTATGAACAAGTCCTAAGAAGGTAACATGTATAGCTCTTCTGTTGTCAGGGAAGTGATGTTCTTTATGTGATTCTAAAAAGACATCATCCGGAAGTTGACACAGGGACAACATCATCAATTGGGATGGGAGGGGGTAGGGTGGGGAATCTGGATAAACTAAGTTTCTTGGAATGCTCTGGCATTAACTGAAGAGACAGCAAGTAATCTTCCACACTAGTCATATGCCCAGGTGATTTCTGAGTCTGTACAGATGTCAACACTGATTCATTGAAGCTATGCTAATAGAATAATTCCTTTCATTTATATGGGGCTTTTTCCTTGCCCAAGGGCTCTCATGGCAGTTGTTATCTTAATAGTCCTGGGAGGGAGAGTGGGCAGGCCTTAATATCCCCATGTGACATATGAGGTGAGCTAAAATTACTGGTCCAATCACACTCTGAGCTAGCGGTAAAGTTTAGATTAGAACCCATGTCTTCTCAATCAAAATCTAGAGAATCCCAGAAACTACCCTGAATAAGTTGTCCCTACTCCAAAATACCAAAGGAGAAGGAATTCACCCAAGGCACTCATTACTACCAGGTGGAGGGGGTCCCTGATAGGTAATCACTCTCCACCCCCAATATTTCCAAAGTCAGACACATTACCTCCTCACTGTGGACAATCTTCATTTCATTCAACAAATATGCCCCAAATACCTACTCTGTGGAAGGCCCTGTGCTCAGCTATGCTGGGATGAGAGCAAGGCCCTGCCTTCTGGGAGCTTAGAGTCTAGTGGAGGAGAATAAAAAAGCAGAATTGTAAAAAGCAATCCAAGGCAGACCATATGACTAGGACTGCCACAGGTGAGTTCAGGTGAGGAACAAGGCCTAAGGCTCTTTTTTCCCCCAAAGGCTCCTGCCTAACTCCTAAATGACAGCATCCTTGGCTGTATGCACTGGAAAGCCATCCCTCTTTCTCTATCATTGGAGTCTGAGCTTTCCAAAGTACATACCCCAGAGGTGTGGGTCATCCATGCAGGACTGGTGATTGGAGACAGTGATTAGCGGTGTGCCAGGATCTCGATTCTCGATCAGTTCGTACAGCACCTCCTTGTTGTACACATTAAGGCGGTTCATGTACTCTATTTGAAGAGAGGACAAATGCCCCCACAGGGCCAGCCAGCTGGTACCATATTGGAGCAGCCAGTCAGAATATTCCTGCTAACTTTCTCTCTCTCACTCTGTATGTATGTGTGTGTGTGTGTGTATATATATATATATATATATATATATATTATGTGTGTGTGTGTGTGTGTGTGTAGACACACACACACACACACACACACCCAGAGCCAACCCCCAATGTTTTCTCTCTTCATTCAGTCCACTGGTTCCTCCTTGAAATTGCATGTCTCTAGGGAAGTAGAGATTTCCTTCCCCAATTAATTGGCTCAAACCCCTAGGTAAGATGCTGCTGCTTTCTCTAGCCTCCTTTCAAGATCCAGCTTTCAGAGCAAACCATACTCAAACCAGGACTAATCCACAATGGATTATGTCAATCCCCACTCATGGATGCAGCCACTTGGGATAAACAAAAGCTTGCCAATTACAGAGTCCCCCTCCAAGGTTTAGTTCATCCCTTTTTCCTATTTTCTTCCCTAGGAAAGTCCTCTCGCACCTGGCCCTAGCCTTAGTCCAAGTACACTCACTGGTCCAGAAGCAGCTGTAGGTACCCACAAGACCCATGACCACACTGCTGGCCAGAGTCCAAGACAGAGGAGGCACGGAGGGGAAAGGCCATTTCACATGCAGGGGCATCTTCCCATGTCCAATGTAGAGTTGGTTTCAGTTGCCTGATCAAGGTTCTGTCATCAGAGAGTAAGGAAGAATAGGAAAGGAATTCTTGAGCTTGGCTTTGGACAAGTACTCAGTGGACCACCATGGAGTGGCCCTAACTGAACAGAGCCTTTAACTAGGGTGAGGTAACCAACCAGAATTTTGACGAAAGGCATTGAAATTTAGACGGTTCTGACAGCAGTAACATTTCTTTAATGGAGTCTTAGCACCTAGTTAGCAAGAATAATTAATGAAATGGGTAGTTTGTAGGTAAGAAATGGTTATTCGTCTCCAGACTAGAATTCTTCCTCTTAAGAGAATTGCCCCAGGCACAGAGGGAAAGTAACTTGGCCAAGGTATAAGCAACAGGTATCAAAAGGAAAAACTTGAACCCAGGTCTTCCTCACTTTGAGGCCAGCTCTCCCAATTTTCCGGATCTCCCAAGGGTAGGGGATGACCACCCTCCGACCCCACCCCACGACTGTAATGTGTATCTCTTTGGCTCACACACCTGGTTTCCCCCTAATAGAGGGCAAATTCCTAGAGGTCAGGGATTGTCATTTCAGTCTCTCTGTGGCTGCCCAACACGGGGCTCGGGATGGGCACCCTACCTGGCCAGTGGGCAGGGGCTACTGGGGCGCTAGGGCTTCCTCTGCCATTTTCACCACAAACTTCACGACCGCCCTGGCAAGGGAGTAAGGAAGGGGGAAGTGTCGGTCTGGTTCGGCTCCCCCTTTTTCCTAGACAATTGCCTTTTTATTCACTTTTGTTTGTTCCCGCCCCTCCCCCAAATCCCTCTTTTCCTTCACCCCAACCCCTGGTCGGGAGGCGCGGCTCGAACAGGCGCCTCTGGTCCTGCCCTCCGTGGGCTCTCCAGAACGCCGCCACTCATCTAGGCTCAGACCCGGGACAGAGGGGGAAACTGAGGCCCAGACAACTGTTACGTAAGGCAGTAGCGCCCAAGGTCAAGCCACAAAAAACAGGGTTGGGGAGGGCGGCAGCGAGAAAAAAGGCCTGGCCGCCCGGCGGGGGCCCATTTCCGCAGGCCACTTACCGTCTCGGCTGGTCCGGGGCGCTCAGACCTCCCAAGGAGGGACAGAAAGAGGCTGCCCCCGCAGCTGCCGTACTGCCAGCGCCCTAGGCCACCCTCGCTTGGGCTGCCGTAAAGCTGCGTGGGCCTCGCCACCGCCGCACATACGTGTCGTAAACAGAGGCCTTACTCTAGGGGCAACTGGCTAGGCTTGGCCGCCCCGGCCCTGGGCCTTTCAGACTCCCGGTGGGGGGGGCAGGGAGGGAGGGGCAAGAGGCGGCAGGAGGAAGGGTGGTGCCCCGCCCCCGCCACCCCGGTCCCTCCCCCGCCAGCAAAACACCGTCCTCTACCTTCCCAGGGCCCCGCCCCCGACTCCGCCTCGTCGCACCCGTAGAAGGTGAGATTTTAACAAGGAGTTGAAAGAAGCCCTTGAGACAGAAAGGAGGAAGAAGAGCATTCCAGGCAGAGTGCATGGGCAGCCAGAGAAGAGACTCAATATCTTGTACAAGGAACAGCAGTGAAGCCAGTGGCACTGAATCACAGAGGGTTAAGTGTAAGGGGTAAGACTAGAAGGTATGGGGCAATTTATCAAAGACTTTGAATGCCAAACAGAGGATTCTCTGATTCTCAAGATGATAGGGAGCCACTGGAGTTTTTAAGGGAGTATCAACATGTATGCTGAAGTCCTCTAGTATGGGCAGGAGTTGGAAGGAGAGAAAGATTGTGAGCCAGATACTAAATTCATTGAGGGAGGAAAGGGGGTGTCCTGGAGGTCTGTAGACCATGTTATTGTTGTTGTTCTCAAACACAAAGGAATAGATATTCAAATAATGCAAGACTATTCTGCATCTGCTATAAAAAATAGGAGGGAATGGAATGTGGTCCAAAGAACAATGGAGCCCAGGATGCAGCCCAGGGTGACCTGTCCTGTAAATCTGGGTGTAACCATACAGAACAAAAGATGGACATTCAATAATAAGGAAGATTTGCAATATTTTTAGCATAAAACCAGAAGTGAAGAAATTAATTGCCCCTGGAACACCCCAAACAAGAGAAATGTGGTAGGAGTAAATAAATGCAGATAGCAACAGCGACAGGGTGACAGCAGAGACACCAGTAAGAGACTTCTTTCTAAATTTACACAAGGAGACAGGAGTGAAGATGAAAGTCTGGTAAAGGTAACAGTGAAGGAGAGAACAGGGAGCATTATGGACAGAATCTGTCTCTCTGCTTTTTCTGTGGGACTACCTTAGAACATGGGAGTGTACATAAAGGGGGTGAGGGAGAACATGTGGATAGAGAGGAGTAAGTGATGCACCAGGGTCAAATCAAGGGCTAGCAGTGAGGGGAAGGTGACCTCTATGCTCTGGAGAAGAGAAAACCCTTGGTGAGGAGGAGGAGGAGGGAAAGATTGAAAATGGGAGAAAAGGAAGGAGGCCTTACTTTGGAGGTGGGAGTGGGTTCTATTGATGAATGCAACTATGGGTAAAGGGAGATGACAACTTTATACTGGATGAAGTTTTGGTGTCTGAAAAGTCTATTTGTCCTGGGAGCAGGGTTGGAATTCCTGGGGGCAAAGTTCACTTACCTTGGTAGTGTGCTTTCCAGGGATGTACACATTGATAATGAGGTTGACACATAAATTGCCAGAGCTAGTTCAGTGTTTGGGAGGCTCTGAGGGAAAGAATGGGAGAGAATTGGTATTTGACTATCAAACTGAAGGTCTACAGAGCCATTGTGCTGATCTCATTGTTGTATGCCAGTGAAACCTGGACAGTATCCCAGCGCCATGCTAGGAAACTGAATTGGTTCCATTTCAGTTGTCTTAGGAAGATTCTGAAGATCACCAGGCAGAATAAGGTACCAGACACTGAGGTCCTTTCTCGAACTAAACTGCCAAGCATTCAAACGCTGCTCCAGAAAGCACAACTCTGATGGGCTGGCCACTTTGTTCAAATGCCAAACATACACTTGCCAAAAAGACTATTTTATGGAGAACTCACACAGGGCAAGTGCTCACGTGGTAGTCAGAAGAAGCAATACAAGGACCCTCTCAAGGTCTCTCTTAAGAACTTTGGAATTGATTGTGTGACACAGGAGACACTGGCACAGGATCACCCAGCGTGGTGTGCCCTCATCAGAGAAGGGGCTGTGCTCTATGAGCAAAGCAGAATTGAAATAGCTCAGGAGAAACACAAGATGTGCAGATTTAGAGAATGTGCCCCAAATGTTTACATGAACTACTTGTACCCAACCTGTGGTAGAGCATTGAGTTCATATTGGTCTGATCAGCCACAGTTACACAAAAACTTGACTCTAGCATAGTGATGTCATTTAGTCTTCTTCGAGAATGAAGAACAGCAATCATTTAACCATTTAAGAGGAGTAGCAGAGCTTGGACCTGTGGAGGAGATTTTCAGGCAAATGCAGAAAAAAAAGGTCTATGAAAGAGAGCTTTGGGTGTAAGGGTGTGGGAGGGGGTAGGGTCCTACCATGGAGCAGTGTCCTCTAGGACACCTGAAGTAATTGGCATTGTTCTGAGAGTTAGACACAAGAGAAAAGGGGAATTCATGGGGTATACTCTATAAGGCAGTAGCAGAAAATGCCTAGAGGACGAGGCCTAGAATGGAGGCATTGGAAGCTTTGACTGTATGAAGAATCCAGAGAAAATAGAGAGACCAGATGATTATAGGGGTCAGGAGTTAGAGAATGAGGGTGTAGAGAAAACAGAAATAGAAGACTGATAATTAAGAGAGTGAAAGAAAGCCTCAGAAAGGGGCTCAAAAATGAAATAAAAAACCAAAACCTAATGAACACTAGCTGAAGGGGAGGAGAATGGGGAATCTACTTGATTGAGAGGGAAAGAGAGGGGAGAAAGATATAGCCAGATTAAAGCAGGAAAGAAAAATAAACTAATAAACAAAACCCTAAAAGAAAGGGGTAATAAATGAGAAGATGGGATCAGGGGTGTTTGGAAGAAAAGTCAGTGGGAACAGGGCCCCCTCAGAATAATAATTAAAGTAACTAAAGGAACATAATACTGTGTTTATAGCAGAAGAAGGGGAAAAATCATACCTTGGGGGGAAAAATGCTACAGACCAATGAAAGAAAATAGAAACTCTGCTCTTATAACTTTAAATGAGAATGGATTAAGCAAGCTAATAAAATGAAAAAGAGTGACAGATTGGATAAGAAAACAAAACCTTACAATCTGTAACACATTTAAAAAACAGAAACATAAACAAAATAAAACTGAGAGGATGAAAATTTTTTTTTACTATGCCTCAAGTGAATCTAAAAAAGCAGGAGTTGTCATCATGCTATCAGACAACTCAAAAACAAACATACAAAAACAAAAGAATAAATAAGAAAACTATATTATGCTGAAAGGAACCATAGATAATAATTATCAGTAATAAACTTATATGCTCCAAATGTCATAGCACCAAAATTCATAAAGGAAACATTATCTGAGCTTCAAGAAGACAAACACAGCAACACACTAATGACAAGAGACATCAATATTCCTCTATTGCTTTTGGATAAGTCTAACAAAAAGATAAACAAAAGGGAAAATATGGAACTGAACAAATATCTGGAGAAACTAGAGTTAAAAGACTTATGGCATCTTCTAAATGGGATAGCAAAAAATATGCATATTATTTTATAAAAAGTTCCATGTAGTTGACAAAATCCTATCAAATGGATTACAGTGATTTATCCAAGAAATTCGTTATGATCAAGTCTGACTTATACTGGGGATGCAAAGATGGTTCAATATTAGGAAAACCATCAAAACAATTAATCATTAAAAACCAAAACATCCAAAGAGCAGTCAGGACTCCTTGGAAGATGTAACCACAGAAATAATCCTGTTCAAATTTGGCCTCAGGTACTTGTTATCTGTATGACTTTAGGCAAGTCACTTAAGTCAACTGTTTGCCTCTGTTTCCTCATCTGTCAAATGGGGACAATGACAGCACCTACCTCCTGGGGTGGTTGTAAAGTGCTTAGCATAGTGGCTGACACATAGTAAGAACTATATAAATGTTAGCTATTATTAATGAAAAATAAACATACAAAATTTTAATAGGGATAAATAAGGAAACTATATTATGCTGAAAGGAACCCAGGTCTTCCTGACACCAGATCCAGTGCTGTATCCATTGTACCACCTCTCTAATTGGCCCAGTATTAGTTTGACAGATGGGATTGGGAAGCTAGGTGACACGGTGGATAGAGTGCCAGGCCTGGAGTCAGGAAGACTGCTCTTCCTGAGTTCCAGTCTTGCCTCTGACACTTACTAGCTTTGTGACTCTGGGCAAGTCATTTAACCCTATTTGCCCCAATTCCTCAGCTATAAAATGAACTGTAGAAACAAATGGCAAACAGTCCAGTATCTTTGCCAAGAAAACCCCAAGTGGGTTTTCAGTAGATGCAGAATAAAACATAATTTAAAAAAAAGATGATGATGACAGATGAATGACAAGGATGGATCAGGATCTGCATAGTTGGAGGGAATCACAGACCTATTCCAGTAGCTGAGTAGCTATTGGCTTAGGTATTTTAGTTTAGTTTAAAAGAAGCACCGAGTTTTATCGATTAATTCGATATTTTTTATTTTAATTTTATTAATCTTTTTTAATTTTCAGAATTCCTATTTTTTGTGCTTAGCTGGGGGTTTTGATTTGTTGCTTTTCTAATTTTTTTGGTTATACAGCCAATTCATTGGCCTATTCTATCTCTTTTTGAAAGTGTTTATGAGATACATTTTCTTTCAGGACTGCTCTGGCTATATCCCAAAAGTTTTGGTATTTTGTTTCATTTTTGTCACTTTATTTGATGAAATTATCTATTGTTTCTTTGATTTGTTTTTTGCCCACCAGTTCTTTAGGATTAAATTATTTAACTTGAATCCTTTCTTCAAAGATCCTTTATTGATTGTAGTCAGCAGAAGATGTAAAGATGCTTTCCTGTGGAGCAGCTAGGTGGCACAGTGGTTAGAGCACTGGCTCTGAAGTCAGGAGGACCGGAATTCAAATCCAGTCTCAGACCAAACACTTGATACTTACTAGCTGTGTGACCCTGGGCAAGTCACTTAACCCCAATTGCCTAAAAACAAGCAAACAAACAAAAAAAGCAAAAAAACCAAAGATGCTTTCCTGCATTTGTTTATAAGGTTTTTATGTGCTAGCACATGGTTAATTTTTGATAATTCTGTATTGTCCTCAATTATATCTTTATACTTTTT